CAAGCAAATGTCAAACTATGGTTATTAAGAAAATAACTATACATAAAGATTTTTGACAACCATGTACTAAATAAGTACAAGGTTGTTATGGAAAATTAAAAAGAAGAAAATTTGGAGATAAGATAGACATAAAAAATCTTGTCTTTTTTTGCAAGAAGCCTTGCTATAAAACAAGACTTTCCCAAGGCATGGGGGGGGCACAAGTTTTCAAGACTCCAATAATTTTTAACTTATCTACCCACATTATTTCGAATAACTTTTTTTATTCATATTTATTATTTTAACAGTTACAAACTTAATCCAAATGTGAATGTCTCATATAATTATTACTATTGAGAGATTTCAATACATGAGAAAAGTTACAGAAAATTTGTTTCGTTTATAAAAATAGTCTTTTTATTCGTTCATCTCTCTCGTTAAAAAGTTGAAAGAAACGATTAGATTTGATCTTCTATGATAGTTGAAAGCTACTATTTTATATTTATTTTTTTCTTCTTTTATTTTTTGGATCTCGAACAAGAAAAGTTATTATTCAATAACTTTTCAACTTCTCAATCTTGCCACTACATATGTCTCTTTCTTATAGTTAAGATCAAAATATTTTAATTCTCCTATTCCTGTTCGTAAAATCCTACAAGATTAACTGTCCACTTTTGATCTTTAATGTTCAAATTGTAGTTTATCAAAATTCAATCATATCTCTAAGTTAATGTTTGTTGCCATAATATTTCTATTTGCACGTATATAATTCTTGTTTTTGAGAATTCTATATTGTTACATATTTTATTGTCTTATTTCTCCAATCAATAGAATCTTATGATTTTCAATATGATCCTATAATCTTGATTTTTAGCCACTCTCATCGATTCAAGACAGGATCTCGATTTTAAAAACCTTGTTCTTCTAGCCTAGATACCTTACATTCTTTAGTCTTGAGTTAGGAAGCACATACACTTTATTTTGGTGATGTCGAAAACGTTTGAGACATGGATATGCTTCGGACACATGTCAGACACACTAAAATGAGTATTCGACTTTTTATTGTTAATTTTGCTTTCAGAGACGTTTTGGACACGTTAGGGACTTGCGACCAACATGCTCGGTGACTCGTTTTGAGATCTTTTTTCAAAATTTTGAAAACTAGTCAAATAACTTTATAATTAAAGAAGTTATTTTTATAGTTTTAAAGAGATGAGTTAAATGTATATGTTGAATGTGTATTTATGTGATATTAGATTTTTTATTCGATGATATCATGATGTGAATTATTAGAATTAATGAAATGATGAATTGAATGATTATTATCAAAATATATTTTTTTATCAATGAACATATATATATATATTGACTGAACAATTAATTTGATTGAATTGAAAATAAATTTTGAAGAATTAATTAAAATACTTGTAGAGAATTATAAGCATTATGCATGCCAAGAAACCAATCCCATTGATGAATAATCAAAAAATTGTACAAAGTACCAAATTTTTCCAAAAACATTCAATCAATTGAATAAATGAAAATTTTAAAATTGAGATCAGAATAAAAATTGTATAAACATAAAGATTCGAACAAATAATTACAATTACGCCAACCCTAACTAAAAAGTACAAAAAAAACTAGGGCAAATGGTAGTTTTGCACCCCAAAAAATTATGGAATTTTCAATTTGCATCCTCAAAGATAAAGTGTTTCAAATTACAAACTTAATAATGTTACCCCAGTCATAACCTTTGTTGCGATTTCCGTCAATTTGACATTAACGTTAAAGGGAATGGTCATAACCCAATAAAATTTATCATGTGCATGTCACATAAACTTTCAATTTAACGAAAATTGCAACGGACAATATGATTGGGGTTCATATTACTATCAATTAATATCATTGAGGGTGCAATTTAAAATAATTGATCTTTGAAGATAAAAATTGAGAATTTTTTAATCTTTTGGGGTGCAAACTGTTATTTGCCCAAAAAATACTCATAATTGATGACTAAATCTCCAAGAATTATGATAAAAAAAAATATAATTCTAGGTTAGAAGATTGCTTGGCTAGGAATCAGAATACTCTCTATTAATAGGATACTAGAGTTACAAGTTGGGACGAAAGAGAGATGAAAGAAAACTCTGAAGTTAACCAAAATATTTTCCTTGCACCAATCTTTAAGAAGTAAGGACCGATCCCTCACTTGATCTTTAATTTGTGCATGTAGAGGTTGATCCATAAAAGGTATGGATCGATCCCTTAAAACTTTCTGTTTTAATAACTTCAAGAAGGGATTGATCCATATAAATCCCTAGTCTCCTTTTGCAGCATGGGATTGATCCTTAGAATTCTTGAATCAATCTTTCTAATTGTTGTGTCCACTTTTTATCCATCTTGTATATCGATCCTTTTCAGCTATAGATCGATCGTCATTGATTCTCAGGCATTTTTTTTTCTTGCTTTTAGCTCTTCGAATCAATCCTTCAATCAAAGAGATCGGTTCCTTGTCATGTATATAATTTTTTATTCACGTTCAACACTCTATAATTGACACTAATAAGATACTATAAAATATATAACCTAAGGTCCTCATTGAACGAAAATCAACGATTGACTTAATGGCCACCTCAACCCGTAAGACTATGAAATAGTGACTTAAAAAAAAAAAAAAAAATTTGGTGGGCAACCACCACTATTGACATTTCTATCAATTAGACGAGCACATGGGCAGAGAGAAAATCTGAAATTTTTTAATTGTAATACTGGCGTGTATTTGTTGCTATCAAGGTTTGTACATAGGACAATTAGAGACTACACAAGTCTCCTTTGAACTATTCTTTCCACGAGAAAGTAATTTTTTAAACATATTTATTTTCACTTTATTAAAGAGACTGACCAACTTTGTGGATTTTTTTTTTAAATTAATTATTCAGTTAATTGTTAATTATTACATTGACGTCTATTTGTTACTTTGCTAGTTGTCACGATAGATACGTTGAATAATTGAGACTCTAAATCGTTTTGAAATATTTTTCCAAAAGTAAGTCATTTTTTTAAGAGTTTTTCTTTTTCAATTTTTTGGATGGAATTGACCCACTTAATGTGTTTTTTATTACCAGTTATGTGACTTACGTACCCAAAAAAAAAAAACCAAATTAAGAGTAATGTGACAATTAGTCAACTGTGCCCGTTAGAGGTGACAATCGAGTCGTATTGTGTCAGGTTCGTATCGTGTCGAACATTAGTCAACTCATATCCAACTCATTTAACTATTTGTGTCATGTCGAGTTGACCTGTTTATTTTCATGTCGTTTTCGTGTTCATATTCGTGTTGACTTACATAAACTTTGAATAAAAAATTTAACGCTAAGATGTGTGAGGTACATATTTGATATTTCATAATTAGGCGATAATATCACGTCATATTAATGCATACACAATCACTAAATTATTTATTAGTTGAAATTATGTTATTTATTAATATAAATTATAAAGTTCCTAAAAAACTTAACATCCAGACAGGCACGGAGACAATTGACGATAAAACATAGGATAAATCTACGATACAGGAGAAGGTACCTAATCGAAAAATAAGATACTTAAAAAGTCAAGTTACAATTTTTGAGGGTCAAATGGTAACCCAAAAAGTTACGATGGATCACATAAATTATAATTTTTAAAGATCAAGTACATCAGTTATTCGTGTTTGATCAATTACATTCTATGATAAATACCAATATTTGCTTTCAAATATGAATAAATTCAATTAATTACAATTTCATCTTTTAAAATTATAAATTAAACACCACATACCTATATAAGCACCCGCTAGTTCAGAGGTACAATTTGATCTGCTTGGGTGGTCTGATCAAATGCCCTCTCGTCCTCATCAAACCCACATCCCTCTGCCTCCTGGCCCATGTAATTCTTTTGCTCTTCGTTTATTTTTTGTCCTGTAAAAATGTATCGTTTAACTATGATTTAATATACAATGTTTAGTTAGGTATGATCAACAATTAATTCCTGGGTTTTGCTTATTTTGAGTTGGGTTTTGGAAAATTATGGATCATATGCCTTCTGATTTGATGAATTAGAGTGTTTCAATTGTTTCTGAATATGGGCATCGTGTGAGATTAACGAGTTAATTATGGTTATATCTTTATGTAAAGGATTTATCCGCACGTTCGGAATATTCTCCCTCTACATGAGGATTTTGGCTGACCTAAGCCTGAGCTTTGTACCATTAGCCTTTACCTCTCTTCGGCCCGCAGGAGTGCGCTCATCCCACGTCAAAAAATAGTCGTCTCCCCCTGCCATATATGCCTGGACTACATATGGAGGAGGTACCCACTAGCCACCTCCTCCGTATGAAGTTCAGGCTTATATGGCAGTGGGAGAGACGACTCTCTTCCGATGTGGACGAATGCGCTCCTGCAGGCCGAAGAGAGGTAAAGGCTGGCACAAAGCTCAGGCTTACACCAGGTCAGCCAAAATCCTTCTGTGGAGGGTGGACATCCCGAATGCGCGGATAAATCCCTTACACTTTATATTAGACTGTCATTTTACATGTTAAGTGGGCTGATTTAGTTTGCACTGCACATCCAGTTACACCACACTTTAGCATCTAAAATCTGCTCTTGTACTCACCTGCTCAGCAGAACACAAAACGTAACATTTTTTATTCTTGTTAAAGTTAATATAGTTGGTGAGAACGAGTAACTAAGGAGGATGCAGAGCTAGGAAATTTTATGGAATGTGATGCTTTGGAATTATATTGTCCTTTTCCCTCATTTTCTGTCCTCTTCTTTTTTTTTTCCTGTCCATTTGTAATTAGTTTCCTGTGCACTCCATTAGTTTGAGGTCTGCACCATTCCCACTTGCTAGATGCCTGTATCTTAGATCTGATTCTGAGAATTGTTCCGACTAATGCACCCCGTTTAGTAATACCACTATTAAAAACCAAATGAAACTGGAAATACTAAAAACTTTGGGGTGGTTAACATCTTCGGCTAAACATGGACCTGAAGGTGGTATGTGAATTGTGCTCATGGGTTTTCAGTTTGTTATCCAGAAGATGGCATTGCAAAGCCTTACCTCTAAGTTGGGCATTTTAACTTAAAAGGTAATTTACTGCTTTTTGTAGGTGAAAATAACCTCACTCATGAAGCTCACTTGTCTCCAGTTCCTATTTATATTGTCACACATGCGGGTTAGCTTCCAAGTGAATTCTTGGAGCCATCTCCTGAGAGGCAATGGGTGATTGGTTTTGACTGTGAGGGTGTTGATCTTTGTCGTAATGGAACTCTTTGTATCATGCAGGTGATTTTTTTTTTTGGGTTACCATTTTAGGCTAGATAACTGAATTGTACACTACAGTTTTAAATTTCTCCTCTGTGTCATGGGATTGGTTTTTTTTAATTTTACCACACTTTTATGTGGAATACCATTTCCTATGACCAGACGTGTATTTTATCTACTGTCGAAAACTAATAAGATGTGCGTAAAAGCATTACAAATGAATATGGGCCTAAGTAGACTGATTGCAAGACGGTAGCTTACCTATTTAGTTTGAGATTTCATGGTTTCATGATGTAAGCATCGCTATACAATTGGTGTATATGTAGTCGTGAATCTAGAAGTAGTATAGTGGTAACTGAATGTAGATATTATGCACATTGCCAAGATCTATTGATCTCGGAGTCCAACAATATGCTGTAATTTTCTTTTTGACCTTTTAACTCTTCTACCTATGGCTTTTATTTAGGACTTCATACGTGTATCATCAATGGATTTGCATGATGAGAGTTAAACTTGGCGGTTGAAATATGGTTTGCTTGTTTTGCAGCTGGCCTTTTCAGATGCTATATATTTGGTTGATGCTATTCAGGGTGGAGAGATGCTTATGAAAGCCTGTAAGCCTGCACTTGAGTCCAGTTACATCACTAAAGTTATTCATGATTGCAAACGAGATAGTGAGGTCTCTTATAGATTTCTTCTGCTTGTGGACCTCAGGATATTTGAATGAATGTTTTATGTTTGATGTTTTTGAACCTGTTTTTATCTTGCAGGCGTTGTACTTTCAATTCGGGATTAAGTTGCACAATGTTGTGGATATCCAGGTGAGCGTCTTCACTTTTTCAAGTTTATGGCTAGCATTGCTGGCCATCTTGTTTCTTCTCTTTTTTCATTCCCCTTTTTACCTGTGCTGTAGTATTTCTTGTGGAAGCTTTCTAGTAGTCTGTCATACTGTATTGCAAAAATATGATGACCAGTACAAAAAGGAGATATGTGTTTTTTCTGGACGGTGGTTTTCTGGAGGGGGATTGAGGTTTGGATATCTGATTGAAAACACATCCTAGAGGTTATCAGGTTTTCTGTTTACTTCTTGTTATTGATATTCACGATTTACTTATTTGCTTTGCCAACATTAACAGTCTACTTTCTTTGAACAACGGGTCTATTTAATTGACTAGGCGTAGATCCCTTTTGTTAGCTCGCTGCACATTTGTAAGCCATTATCTTGTTCTTCACTGCTTTTTTTGGGCGCAAAAAGCACTTGAGCATTTGCTGTGCATAATCTCTTTGGAAGCTTCTTTAATAATGGGCTAGTTTTTCTTCTTATACAAGCATGCAGTTTTGTGATCACTTTTAATATAAGCTTGAGGTTAGTTACCTCAAATTGATGAATGTTCTTGACTTCGAAGAGGTTATGTTTGGACGGGTATATGCAATGGGACTATTCTTTAACCATTTATGATTGACAGTTTCTCCACATGCAGATTGCTTATTTTTTATTTGAGGAGCAAGAAGGACGGACAAGAGTGCTAGCTGACTACATATCATTTGTTGGCCTCCTTGCAGATCCACGCTATTGTGGTACTTGGTCTTTTTTGGTGTTGATTTGTCTGTTTCTGATCCTGGAACCTTTTGCAGTTTAATGAATATTTTTATCAAGAGTGCTTGCTTGGCATGTGTCATTATTGTAGTTTCAGTGGTTTTTATTTGCATTTTCCGGACTAACTCGTGTGCATCTGATTTAGTTGGGTAGGAGCTAGAAAAATAATGTGCAGAGTGAAATTATATGTTGCAATATGAATCCGACCAAATCTTATTGGCTATTCCATTTTTGAATTTTTTTCCTTTCAATTTTCTTTTTACATTATGGAACATGATACAGTTGGTCATCTACAAGCTCAGGGCGATGCATGCATCTGTCTCAACAGAATGTGTAGTGTGCCTGTCCATAACTTAGCAAAAGGATATATTCCTGGATCTTGTGCTCCCTTTTGTAATATTTTTACCATTCTACCATTTCTCTAATCCTAGAGGATGTGGTATTTTTGTTGACATGTATTTATCGCCTATTGTTGTGTGGATATGATTTGGAGCTGGAATCCTGCATATCGTTCTGTAATTTAGTTGTGTTCTAACTAAAGAAATCTTCTCTTGTTAATCTTGTGTATGAACCACTGTTGCTATCGCCATTGCGGCACCTTGTTATTGTACTTTTAGTTAAGGAGAAATATTCTGTATTGATGTTGCTTTTACTAGACATAGGTGTTTTAACTATTATATTATTGGGCTTCCACATCAGATTCAATCGGCCATATTGCTTGGATTTTGACTTTGAGATTTAAATGCAGGTATATCTTATGTCGAGAAGGAAGAAGTTCGTGTACTTCTGAGGCAGGTTGGTTTCAGTGTCTTCTTAATAAACTATTCTGAAACCGGGTGGCACAGGGTCGTACCTGTTGGCAAAGGCTTACCTCCCACAGTCAAAATTGTGTTCAAACCTCTCACCCCTCCCTAATTGCAAAAAATGCTTTTCTTAACTGTATCAAAAACAAAAGTTATCCTTCCTCTGGTCTGCTTCTCACTGTTCAGACTTCTGGGTCTTTTGGTAAAAAGGAAAAGTTGGTTGTCCTTGCTTTAGATGAAGTTCAATGGATCAATCTCATGTGATGGTTATACGTACTATTTTTTTAATATATTTATTTTTCCATATATAAAACCTCAGATCTGCATTTTCAGCCCATCTCCCCTCCCTCTCTCATAAAGGCTGTTAATATACCTGAGGCAAACTCCATAATATAGATGAACTTTATTGCCATGCGCATCTTATATTTGAGTGAATGGCTCATCACCTCCTTACGCATCTGTCCAATGAATGAAGGTGGTCCTCTGTGATTTTTCCTTAATGTTTAATCATTCAGCATTACACATATTCACCAGTACATATCGTGCTTTTTTTTTGTGTGTGTGTGTGAATATAGATGTAATTTCTTAATTTTAGTTATCAGCAATACCCATTTGGAGGGATCTGTGGTGTTGTCTTTGATCAGCTCTTCATTTACATTTCCAGGACCCTAACTTTTGGACATATGGACAACTCTCTGAACTGATGGTTTGTGCTGCTGCAGATGATGTCCGCTTTCTTCTCTATATTTATCATAAAATGGTTGCGAAATTGAATCAACAATCTTTATGGTATCTTGCTGTCCGTGGCGCAATGTATTGTCGATGTTACTGCCTAAATGACAATGCTTTTGCAGATTGGCCGTCTCTCCCTCCAATCCCAGGTTTTCCGCTCCACTTAGACATGGTGCTGCGTCATAAAAGTGCCTTTTTTTTCATAACAAAATATTGTCCATTGTACCTCCATAAACACAGGCAATGATTCAAGACCACTTAAGCATGCATATGATCATTATATCCATAACTTATTCACAATGCTTGCTTGTTTGCGAACAAGATTATTGAGGTGGGCTCTAAATAATTGTGTCAATGCTTTGTTGAGTAGAGTAGAGGTGTATCTGACATATTTACCAAGTGATGCAATATGTCACTAATGACATGTGACCATATGTTGATTTTATTACGTTTTTTAAACACTTCCTATTATAAGTTTTGGCAAGCAGTGAAATTGTGCTTATTATTACAGAATATAGATTGCCATCTACTTCCAAAAATACAGAAATGGGTGTAACAATTAGGCGCCTCGCGCAGGACCTAAATAAACATCATCATATTCGAACTATTGCAGAGCTTAGAGATATCAGAATAAATGCGCCCTTTAAAACTTTTTTTTGTGCTCAAAAGACGACAAAATATTATTGGAAGTATATAGTTTTTTATGATATTGCATATGTAGTCTAAGATGCAGTCACTATGGAGTATATTTCATCATATTAGTCGCTTAGCACTTCAATGTGCTAAGCCACATGTTGAGGTATTGTACTTCAGCAATCCTGAGATGCTGAAACTGCATTCAAAGTACTATTTGATTCAGCTCACAATCTGCTAGCAACTTATTTGCATGAACAAATGTGATTGCTTTACATTATTTCCTCTGGGGTTTTGTTACATCCAAGAGTGGCTATCACTGCTTCTTGAACACTGTACCCAAGTAGCAACAGGAATTTTAAATTTTTGTTTGGTACCTGTAGCCAACTGCTATTTTGCTGAACTGCAGAAATGTGCTGTAAGCTAGATTGTATGATAGGAACATCAGCAAAAATTGTACTTAGAATAAATACTGATTAATGGTCATTCTACCATTTCAGATAACCTCATTGCTGATGAGAATGCTCCTGAGGAAGAAATCCTCTGTGTTCTTGATGTTCCGCCTGGGAAAATGGGACGTGTTATTGGAAGAAGAGGGGCTTCCATCTTGTCCATAAAGGAGTCTTGCAAGTACGTTTCTCTATCACTATATATGGTATAACTTATATAGGGGAGCACCACTTTTTTTTCCCACCTGTTCTTGACTTGAGCATATTTGTGCAGTGCTGAAGTCTTCATTGGAGGCACCAGGGGTCCAGCTGACAAGGTTAGTCTTCCAGACGTGCAGAATTTCTCGATAGTTACTGTTTAATTATCTCATGTCTCAATCGATGAGTCAATCCCGTAGCACAAAGTTCCTGTAATTGAGGTATACCATACCATTTTGGATGCATTTACAAAGACTGGATGATTATTGATATTATCACGGTTCTTAAAATGATCTTGGTAACGCTATATAACACGCCCTTGTAGTTCAAAAGTTGGCCACCACAATTTATTAAAGTTAGTGTTTATACATGCCATAACTGAATTTCAGCTGGAAAAAATCTGCTCACGAATCCCGCCAGCGCACCCACCCTTTTGATGAGGTGGACTGGAAAAATTTGTGATTGTACTATTGCAAAATTGGCCAATGCATTCAGACCAACTGGAAAGTGAAGTAAAAGTCTCAATTCATATGTGGAAACCATGATCCTGTATATGTTCCTTACACCTCATGGTTTTACATGCAGGTGTTCATTATTGGACCAGTACAGCAGGTGAGGAAAGCAGAAGCAATGTTAAGGGGAGAATGCTGGATGTGTTTTAAGAAGTTTATATTAGGCATTGCGTCTCGCTTTTGAATTACTATCGACAATAATAATAAACTTACCAAAAATATGCGGTTCTGTTAATGTGTCATGTACTTACTTAAAAATATTCTTATGTACATAAATCACCGGTTGGTTGAGATGCTGATGCTACTGCTGCTATTCTCTGATCAAACACTGTTGTGTTCAAAGGTGAGGGATGCAGACTGATCCAGTTTGCCCCCATGTTCAATTTGTAATGGAATCAGTTCAAATTGAAAGATTAGAGTGCACAATTAACCGATTTGAGTAGGCCAATAGAAGTTTATACTAACTGTTGGTTGTTAAATCCGTAATGTGAGAAATACCAAAGAGGGTTGATCACAAGTTACCACCAAAGTTGTAACTTCACCCCAAAAAATTATAATTCAAACATTAAAAATTATAAAATTATAACTTGATCCAAAAAATTTTTTGAGTACCATAGTCTTGTCTCCCTTCTGAATTGGAAGATTTCACTTACAAAGTGAAAGTGATGCATAGAACATTGTTTTTTTTGGGCAATTGATGCATTAGAACATTGTTTTTTTGTTTAGGTAAGTGACGCCTAGAACATTGTTGCTTGTACATAAAAGAGCTTATATGATGATTGGCACAGCATTTGATTTATGCCAGAAAGGGGAAATAGACAACAACAATATCAACACATTCTCTCTCTCTCTCTCTCTCTCTCTCTCTCCTAGAAAATAATGCATACAAAATTTAGGATTAAAATCTATTTCAATACATTTTTCTTTATATTTTTTAAACGACACTTCACTCATCATACATGCATTGGTGAATGACCATTCCTCGGTTTGTGATTGTCATAAGTTACACTAATCTTCTCTATAATGTTCCAATTTTATCGAAAGTTCATGAGGGGATGCATTGGCGAAGAATCCAAGATGATTTACTATTAAAAAATTTTGATGAAAAGTGCATTGAATAAGGATCTAAATCCAGAAAAAAGGGCTTCATGAATTTCCACCCTTAATGCTCTTGAGGTGCTTCAATATTGAATGTATTGCCACTCTCATAATCTGGAGGTGCTTCACCATTGTATGAAAATTTATCTAATATTAGAGGTAAAAAATTAAAATTCTCAACTTATAAATATATAACGACTGTCAAAATTAACCAATTTTCATCTAATTTAATTTAATAGTACAAAATTTATTCAAAATTTATTTTTTTCACTCAAAAACATCTTTGCACGACCACCAACAATGTCAAAAAATTCAAACAACGCTTCCCAATGTCAAACACCTTCCCAGATCCACGCCTACCTCTCTTTTATTTTTCCTCTATTTTAATTTTTACTATACATAATTAAAGAAAAGAGAAGCAAAAATGAATTGATATTTAAAATATGTTGCACGATCAATATTCGATTTTTGGTATCACAAAGGTAATTACTAGTACATCAACAAAACTTCTCAAATATCCCGACCAGCAGCGAAGACACTCTTGGATACACCAGATCTTTTCCATGTATACAAGAACGAACACACCAACATGCACAAGACCAATCACTCGAAAATACACAAGGAATATCAAGAGAAAAATGGGTGAAAAAATTGGGAAAGCGAAACAAATTATTTCTTGAGGCTACCAAATTGGTATTGTTGGCTACTAAAGCTTGAGAAGAAGTCATCTCCACCTGTTGCTGTGGATGTGAACCCAGATCCAGATCTACCAAGTCCAGATCCTGCACCCATGGCTCTGCCCATGTAAAATGAGGCTGGAGGTCCCTTATCCTTTTCATCTGATCCATCAGTCAAACCACCCACGACACCGACATCTGCCAGATTTACCTTCTTCGCTGCCAGTAGGTTTCAAATGCACAATGTGATTTCAATATATAGGCAATCAATGACAATTAACAGACAGCAATGTCAATTAAAACCTAAAATCTCCCCCCATCTAATACACTTTTTCTGTAAGTTTGATCTCTACGGCTGAAGAATGAGCATGTTCTTGGGCTGTCGTAGAAACATAGATTGGGTTGATGACGGAACGAACAACGAAACTTTACAACAGTTTTTTTCTACACGTTCACTAGCATCACTTGCTGAATGGATATCAAACAAACCGTGGCTGACAACGGGGGTCTCTTTCCAAGAAAGATATTATGGCTACACTCCTCTAGGAAGTCAGAACTGGTGGAAGTGGGTAACAATTTCATCAGTGGATCAGCCGGCCAAACTAATTTATCGCTTGTATAATTCTCTTTTTGGTGCAATGACATAACATGATTTTTTACCAAGACGAGTTTAATATCATACTCTAAAGCACTGGCATGCATCTCTGGTGTTAGTTGCCCTATGAGAGTTCAAATAAAAATGATAACATGGTCGTGCAGTGATGGGTATTACAAAAATCTGATAGATTTTAACATCAGCAGTAACATGCAAATCAACGATGCAACAGAAAGAGAATCGGATTAGCTAAGAATAAGCAACTTACGTGCAGTTATGTTAAGATCAATTAGTCCTCGGCTCAGAGAATCTGCCCATATTCCAGATTTAACTTGGAAAGAATCTTTCTTTGGTGGAGGCATAGAATCGACTGAAGACTTTTCATTCATGATACTATGGCTGCCATCATCGACAGGATTTTGTGAGGGTTCTGTCGACACTGAATCACTATTAGATGTGAATGCACCAAAAAGATTGGACCCATCAAAACTGTTCAGCGGAACGGATGCAAATGGATCAATTGTGCTAGTCGCCTCAGGATCAGATTTTAAAGATTTATTCTCAGGCTGTACAACTGGATCAGGAACAGCAAAAAAGTCGACCGTTGAAGAAACTGCAGAGGAAGAGGCAGGTTGAGAGGCAAATAGATCAACCTTGGTCTGCAGAAACGTGAATGAATTGAATAAGTACAGAATCAAGTGATAGTATGATATGAAAATTAACCATCCCTCATTCAACCATGAACCAAGGAGCTGAATGTTTTTGCTGAAGCATTATGAATCCAATTAATGTCAGACAGTTTATTACTTCAAAATTACACATTGCAAAGTGTACAAGAGATCAGTCAGAAAGATAAATTCAGTTAATGTCAATTTTCCCTAAAGAATTACAAACGTAAGTCATCTTTAGGAGCGCCAAAAAGGGCTAAACCCATCTCTTTCGGTTTTGAATAAGAGGAGAATGTGCACCCTTACCTCAGCCCAAAATTTGACAATTTTCATATCCAGTAAAGATTTATTTGCAATATCTAGAAATCCTAAAAATTTTGAGGTATTATGGTGCTCTTGAATGATGGTACTCGACCAAATTGTTACCATATTATTAGTACTATTTTTATCTTTTTTTCAAAACCAAAAAAAAAAAAGAAGGGGACCAAGCATATTCTCATGTGAAAAATGTAGTCACCACCAAAAAGGCATCTTGTCTGATAGTATGTATGTCCTAAATTTTACATCTATTATAGGGGAAAAAACAATTTGCAAAAGCAACTAAAGCGGAAGAAACTGCAGAAAAGGTAGCACCCAGCAAATTTCTGGTAGGGTGCCTTTCCTATAATTTTCTTGTAAGAGGGTTACCATAAACAGCTCCCACTCACACGAAGGTCAAGGCCCCAAACAGCTCTTTAAAGCAACTTTTATTGTTATCTGTCGATTAAAGTTGCTTTTCAAATTGTTTTCCACATTTGTACTTTTATCATCCCCTCACAATGGAGCAACCTCACATCCTCAAAAGAAGGCTAACATACAAGTCACCTCTTCAAATGTTGCAAGTTTTGTGATAACTCCAAAGATGGTAGGGACAAAAAAAAAAAAAATCTGACCTGAGCCTCAAAACTTCCCCCCGCTTCTACATGGGATGGTGCAGATACAAAAGTGGCATCTGCAAACAAATCTACCTCCGGTGTTTTAATATTCACTGAAGACATGTTTGCGGAAACTGGTGCCGGCACATCCAACAGGTCACCAACCAAACTTTGTCCAAACAAATCCACTTGGTTAGAGATTCCAGCATTTGGCTCTGTCAAACATCAAGGTAAATTCACAAAGACATGCTTAACCACATTCTAATTATCACATGTACTTTTTGCCATTAAATTTTGCAGCTAATGATGAGAAACAACATTTATGATGCTGAAAAGGTAACACATAAATACTTGAACTGGGGAAGAGAGAACTTTTCCCTGTCAATTGTTAGCACCTCAGATATTGCCCTGATTCAGAACGCATCAGCACTAGTTTACAGTGACATGCTTGAACAGATTAATTTCCTCCAAAATGTACAAAACCAATATGCATATCATTCTTTTAATAAGCAATTTTGTCTTCTAATTTTTCGAGTTACTAAGTTTGACACCAACTCAAGCTGTAGTAACTATACCTGTCCTCTCTGAATAAATATCACTTATATACCAGTGCATCATACCGGCTAATGCAACCACTAGCCTTTCTGGGAGAGGCTAAGCTTTGATGCATTACGATAATGTTGAATTTTCAATTTGGAAAATTTTGAATCGCTAAAACATACATATGAATCAGAAAAGTAAAAGTTGGTGAGGAGAAAA